TTAAAATATTTAGAGCTTATCATCAAATTGTTTAAACATCAAAAACATTCCAATGCTGGTCAACACTTATATAATAATAATATATAATGTCAACATAGATTTTTTTGTTGTTGTTTTCTAAGAAGATTATACATGTTTGTTATGACAGTATTAAAGGTATGCCAAACATAATATATATAATACTAATAATACCAATTAATAAGAAGAAAATCATGTAAGGATATAATTTAAAATTTTTAGTAAATTCTCATTTAGTAAATTAATTACAGTGATATTTTGTTAATTAGAACTAAAACTAATTTCAATTTAAAAATCAATTCTCTATGTGGAAAATGTTATCTAAATTAATTACAAACAGTGAAGTTTTAAAGTCTTTATTTCTGTAAATGATACTGATTTACTTAAAATACATCTAATGAAAAAACCAAATCATTATATTAGATCAGGAAACATGTTCAATCCAGAAATGTTGCCTAAATATGTTCAAAACCTGTTTAAGAGTTTTGTTTTGTAAAAACGTTTTGGGTTTAAAAACCAGCCTTGTCTAAGCAAGTTAGAAGTTTATAAGCATTCATCCAAAATATGGCTATGTTGAAAACTCTAAAAAAGTGAAGCATTTCTTCTCAAGCAAAGATGATAACCAAGAAGGAAAATGTATTTTAAGTAGCTATATTTAACTTCACACTTACTGTGTCTTGCGTATGTATTCGGTCCACCTTGCACTTTTCTACCTTTTGCCACATTTCAAGCTTTAAACATAAAGATATAAAATAATAATTTTAGGAATCCAGTTTGTGTGGGTTGTGTTTTTGGTTTTCTTCTCTCCCCCCACCACCAGGTGGTACCCTGTCCTCGTTGGTCCTCCTGCACACCTGCAGCTGGTTGGCTCATCAATGAGGAGTATTTGAGCGGCGGACTGTCACTACCTCGACCCCAGAGTGTTTGCCAGTTTGGGGTACTCTAGCCAAGCTGAGTTTAGCTGAGTCTTACTGAGTCTTTGTTTCGCTGAGTTCTAACGTTGTTTTTGTCTTTTGTCTTTCGGCAGGAAGTCATCCTACATACTGGATTTTTTGGCCTTCTCCCCCATGGAAGGATTTGTTTTAACTTCACACTGAGCAGGGGATTTATCTCCACAGGTCCCGTTCAAGTACTCCTGGAAATCTAAGTGGCAGTCCGCTCCATTGCTCCTCAGTAACCAACCTAACCAAAACCTGTCTGCCCTCCAACAAGCCCCTCTTTCTCTGGAAAAACCCACACTGACTGGATTCTGGGAAGAAAACTTTCTCTGCATAATTTGAGTCCCGTTTATCTCTGTTTTGCAAGACATCGTTCAAAGTTCCCACGGACCCTGAACTAACCTCTGTGAACTTCCCTTCTTACTTCCAGTTCCAGTTCACCAGCTCTCTGAGTTCACCTGAATCCTACCCATCTTGGACCTCTAATAACCTATTAATAATAACCTGTTAAACATTTACTCTGGTTTCTATGAGTGGTTTGCTGCATGTGGGTCAGATCCCTTAAAAACATCATGACAAGTAATTTGTGTGAAGAATCAGCAACAAGTTGGAAACAATCATGAGGTGGAACAAAATTGATTGGATATTTCAAACTTTATAACCAATAAAATGAAGAATTGCGTGTGGGAAATGATTCAGCCCTCAGCAGTTAATACTTTGTAGCGCAACTTTTTGCTGCGATTACAGCTGCAAGTTGCTTGGGGTATGTCTCTATCAGTTTTGCACATTGAGAGACTGAATTTTTTTTTCCCATTCTTACTTGCAAAACTACTGGAGCTCAGAGAGGTTGGATGGAGAGCGTTTGTGAAAAGCAGTTTTCATGTCTTTCCACAGATTCCCGATTGGATTCAGGTCTGGACTTTGACTTGGCCATTCTAACATCCGGATATATATTCATTTATGAACTATTCCATTGTGGATTTTGCTTTATGTTTTGGATCATCGTCTTGTTGAAGATAAATCTCTGTCCCAGTCTCAGGTCTTTTGCAGACTTCCCATCAATGTGAACAATCTTCCATGTCCCTGCTGAAGAAAAGCAAGCCCAAACCATGATGCTGCCACCACCACTTTTGACAGTGGAGACGGCGTGTTCAGGGTGATGAGCTGCTTTTACACCAAACATAACATTTTGCATTTTTGCCAAAAAGTTCGATTCTGGTTTCATCTGACCAGAGCACCTTCATCCATATGTTTGTGTGGCGCTAACATCGTGGTGTTTACAGTTCATAATCCGTTGACGTTCCTGTCTTCCCTGAAATGTCCAAATCAGCTTTTGATTCGCTGGTCATTGTTCCTGCAGTCCTACAATCTGGATATTCATTACATTAAAGGAAAAGACAACGTCATAGTTGATGCGTTATCTCGCGCTCCACTTTTTTAGCATGTGGTGTTTTTTTGTGCTTGTTTTGTCCCTGTTTCTTTTCTATGTGCCTTTAAGAAGCTTCTGAGTACACCAGTTGCTGGCCTAGAGAGCGAGCAGAGGAAGAAATCTGTACATTAAACGAATCCGAATACATTGTGGGTAAGAGAAATACGTTAAGGGTGGCCGGGTTTACTACACGGTTGGTGAATTTGGAGCAGGGTTCCATATAGAACCTGCTTTTTTTATGGGCGGGGGTGTGACAGCCCTGCTGTGCTGTCGGGTGAGCATATGTGTTAACTGCCTAAATTAACACTATCAATTAAGGTCTTCTAGGTGGGAGGCGCTTCCATTATGCGGCCACCTGGTTGATACTTAAGGAGCGCCGTTCCATTTAGAGCATGTGTGTTCCCTGCTTGAGAGGCGCGTCTCCTGGTTGAAGCAAGCACGCCGCAGACAGCAGTCCAGTTTGGACCAGGTTGGGGTCCCGACTTCCTGGTGTGGAGGGACCAGGCGTGATCGCCCCATCCGAGCTGCCGTCTGATGCCTACATTTAGTTCATTCTTTTGATTCTGCTAAATAAATGCCTTTTATAGGCTTAAAGTACTGCCTGTTTCCGTGTCCCCTCAGTTTTTGTTGCGACCAGTCAAGCCGGGTCGTAACAGTTTGTGTCTCAAGAATGAAGGGGCCGATTCATTTTGCGCGCCGCACTCTTCAGTTTTTTTTCTATTTGTTAAAAAAACAAATATCCAAAAACTTTCGTTCCATGTCATAATTGTGTCCCACTTCTTCTTGATTCTTCACAAAGAATTAAAATTCTTATCTTAATGTTTAAAACCTGAAATTTGACAAAAGGTCAAAAAGTTCAAGGGGGCTGAATACTTTTGCAAGGCACTTTATATATTTATGATACCACTCTAAAAAAAAAAAAAATAAATAAAAACAAACATGTTATTTAAATGTGTCTTGAATTCTTGATTCTTGATGAATTGATGAATTGATTCTAGGGTGTTTTTCCAAAACAAATTGATCATTATTTCTACATATTTTCTATTTCAGTTCCACTTCAAGCATTACAACAAGACTTTACAGACATTTTTCATGCTTATTCCCAACGCAATGTGTTTTATTGAGTATCTTAAAATAACTACATTTTGTGATAATTTCTCACTGCTGTAATGATGGAAACTAATTACTGTTTAACCCATCCCAGTATTGTGTCTCATTCGAAGCGACTTTGTCTGGAGCTTTTGGTAACACCCAGCTTGTGCCAGTAATCATTTATCTGCTTTGATTAATGTGGTCTTTAGAACCCCAGCTTTAAAGATAATTAAAAGATGTCTGCCCACTTCTGCACAAGGGCAATAATAGAAGTGTGGCACTCCTGAATATGGAAATGAAATCAAACTAAACATAAAAAAATCATCATTTTGCCCTTTCTTCCTCAAATCTTACATTCCAGCAGTGGCAACGCAGGGTCTCGAGAGTCATGTGCTTGGCCTGTGTTCCTCCCAGCTTATACCCATGACTCTAGCACATGACGAGCTCAGGGCCAGATTACTGCCTGACTCGCATGCTCACACCAGCCGGTGCCTGCTGGCAGCTGAACGCTTCACTGACGCTCACACCAAACACATCATTTTACCCCCTGGCATTTAGAGCATGGCTATTTTCTTGATCATGTTTTATTTTTCCCTTTTTTTTTTTTTTAGGTTTCTTTTGGAATGTTTTGGCGCTTCCCAGATTTAGTGTGAAAACAAGTCCAGGTTCTACAATGTATGCGAGAATGAATTATCCCACTTTAAGATTTGTGATCGTATCCAAATATTTATCTCTTATTTCAACCAAACTTCACTCTATTGTTCAATAGTTTATACAAAAATTTAACACAATTCATATAAGGATACTTCTTACTATTTGTTTAAACAATTCAAATTATTTCAGTTTTTACAGTATTATGCTTTTCCTTAATTCTTAACAAGTTTATTTAAATTTATGTAATTAATAATTAAATTGTTCTGAAGTGGAAGCAAAAAAAGAAAAAAGTCCTAAAAGATATATGGGCAGTAAATATAGACAAGCTACTTTGGTAGCGCAAAATAAAATTTGAATTTTTGCTTTAACAGTCAAAGATAGCAAATTCACAGACACTGTTTCCTTAAAAAAGCTGTTATATTGTCCTTCAACACAAAATGTACTTTACTCGATGTCAATTTAATCGCTTTAGCCATTTGCTTTCCATGAAATCAGCTGGACAGCTCACCCACAGTTTGACTTGCCATTTTATGTGTTTACATGTTAGCTCCATTTGTTGGAAAAAAAAAATCTTATAAATATTCATCAGTCACTTCTGCTCCACCTACTCAGTCACAGCACAGATCCAAAGCAAATTCTCCTGAATCGCTGCCATGAATGCTCAAACGGCTCAATTCACCACCGGAGTTGCATGAGTAATGCAGGAGGCTAAAATAACCCAAGAAGGTATCACAGAACACACTTCCATAACAGTGAAGGTAAAAAAGCAGATGCCACAACTTACCTTGTTGGATAATATGTAGGTAACATTGAAATCTCCAAAGTAGTGAGTGACAAAGTAAAGCTCTGTGTGTCTACATGAGGCATACCTGTAAACAGAGCATGATAGTGCAGACCCCTCTCCTTGTCAGAATGAGAGCACACGTCAAACAGGTAGGCCTTGATGGGCCCGTCGATGAAATCTGCAGCAAAGTCAAACAACACCACCCCGAACATCACCACGACGATGGCCCAAATGCTCCTTAATGACCTGTTGCTGACCAGTGCTGAAAGAAACACAGGAAGCAGCTCATCACTCAAAATTGAACAGTTTACTAAGTTGTTTAATGTTTGGTTATCTTTTTCACACAAAAACTTATATCAACAAAGTTCTAAGAGTTAAGGATTGGCATTTTTCTTTGTATTTATTGTGAAGACAACAAAATGACAATATTAAGCATCAAAATCTATATCATAGCCTTTATAATACTTATTAAGATCATAAATACCATATTTAAAGAATATAAAACACCTTCAGAAGCAAAATATAAAATATCACACACCCTTAGAGGAAAAGTTGAATATTAAACTTAAAGAAGAAAAATGGACGGCTTTTATAGAAGATATAAATTAGAAAATATGTACATGAGATGCAGTTGGGATCTGTCAATGAATGCAGTCTGAGTCTATAAAGGGAAATAATAGACTATAATATAATAGACTAAACTATAACTTTAACTAATTTGCTACAATACATTTCCGAAAAAATGTTGACTAAAAGAAAAGATGGACACTCAGTGGCTGCTAGTCTGTAGTATTTGATTGCAGCAGGTCCCAATGACTCCCCATAACAGTGTGTAAAACTAGGACAGAATGACAACACAAACAGCCCCAGTAGCCATGTAACAAGCATTGTCTGCTTCTTTTAGAACATGTACAACTGTGTCTAAAGCTATTTCCCCTGTTGTTGTGACTCTGCAGAACCTTCTGTTGTTCTCTGGTTAAACAGCTTTTGATAACACGTGTAAGGACTGGCTATAGTGTTTAATCTCAGCCAAGTTTAATATTTTCATCCTTTTGAACTCTCAGGTTTCCTCAGCACTGCTTATGACAAAGCAAACTCCGATGGCTTTTCACCTTTGAGACGCCTCGTTAAAAATGTTTGTCCAAATGTCTGAGTAAATGCAGCACGCATTTGCATTCTTGCATGTTTGCTGTGAAAAACTTTTTGGGAATCACAAAAGGGTGCATGACGGTTAATTAAACGTTAGCTAAACGTTTTATATAAGCAACCCCAGAGTACATTTCACATATAAAACTTTTTTTAAGTATATTTGGAACCATTTTGCAATAAAATGATTGATACAGACAAGATCCAACTACTTGTAAGCGCCATGAGAATACATCCACTGGTGAACCTTTAGCTGATAATTATGCTAAAGTTAGAATCTGCTGTTACAGTTAGATTAAAGAACATTTTCATCGCTGTTTTCTTTGTTTTTTTATTTTTTATTTAATTAAATCTAGGCTACATTTCATTATCTACTTTTAAAAATATCTGAACTAAATACAATGACCTGAGTATATCTAAACATAGGTTTTAAGATGTATGACACCTTCATTCTCTTTGTGAAAACATTTATGCTTATGAGAAGTTGGGAAAAACATACCGCATATTTTATGAACATATCTGGACTGGGAATTAATTCTGCACAAGATTTGGGAAATCTTTGGGCAAATTTCACAAAAAACAAGCAATAGGGAAACCTAATTTTTCAACATAACTTCCTAAAAAGAACCAGCTAACAACTGGCCTATTATTCTTACAGAAATCTGTATCTGATGTATAGTTACCAACCTCAAACTTTTTGTCATTTTAGCAAAGAGGGAACTCAGAGTGCTCAGTTAATTTGCTTGTCTTTGCTCTACACTCCCCATTAACTTCTTAATCCCTTAAAGTCACCTGTAAACCCAATCCAAGGCCTTAAAGAACAAGATGTGTTTAAAAAAAAGGAAAACTGGGTTTTTAAGATTACTCTGCGCAGATACAATTAAGAGAACAACATTGTGACTGAAAGGAATTTTGACCATGTTGTGAACTAAATCAATACAACACTCTAAGAGTGTCTGAAAGGCAACAAAAAATACATTTCTTTTTTAGAAAACAGATCAAAACAAATCTGAATTCCCACCCTTTTAATCAAAATACTTTTTAGTGAAAAAAATAAAGCTCATTAGTGTAAACAAATAAAGACTCAAGTTTCAAATGGTTCTCCAGTCTTTAAATAAATGGAAGAAGTAAGATTAAAACCCGAAAATAACAAACCAGCAAACCACATTTCAAATGTTTTTTTGTTTTTTTTCTCCCGCAACAGTAAGAACAAAACACACAGAAGTAAAACATGATGGTAGGCAATTAGAGAGGCATTTACTATAAGCCTGAGTGAAATGCTGGTTTAATTAGTTTATCCAAACAACATCAGTAAAGGTTCATATCAGGAACTGGATAATTTAATGGAAATTAATGAACGATGATATTTCATCACTTAGTTTATATGACTATAAAAGTTTTTCAAATCTACTCTATTCTATATTTGTATAACTCAATTATACATTTATGCTTGGGGATAATTAAGACATGTTTTGGGGAGGTTATAAATCTTGAAAAAAAGGGAAAAAAATAGGATAAGATAAATTGAAACTTATTTATATTTATCACTACCATTACTTAAAAAAAATAAAGTAGAACTAAACTGAGGAGCGATGTCTTAGATAGATAGGTATACAATGGCTTGTTTATGTATATAGGGTCAAAACAAGAAGGGTAGAAGTAGCAATGTGGGTTTATGACATGGGGATTGAAAAAGGTGAAGTGGTAAATTGACTCTGACCCCTTGTTTTTAACCCCTGAGGCAATTTTTCTCTGGTACTGAATCAATGTTTGAGCTGTAAAGGTAAACCCTCAATGATCTTGGAAAAAGCAGGAAAGAAGAGCTGTCAGACTCGGCAACTTGAGAAACTTTCTCAGAAAAAAAGCTCAAGTGGGCTGTCTTAAAATAAATAAAATCAATTTCTTTTTAAAGGAAAAGTAAGGTCACCAGTTCTATGAAACTGAACTGGAGCCTGACTGATTCTAATCAAAACAAAGTCTCTATCTCTATTCAAATTAGATGACATTCTCTCTACTCTGCCTCATAATATATCTGATTTAGGGGACATCGGCTCAGGTCACCTTACGGTTGTAAAACATCCACCTTCAATCACAACTTTAAAACAGAAGTGTATGTTTTTTTTGTTTTGTTTTTTGTTTAGACTTAAGCTAAAAAATCTCCCAGCAGGAAAGATAGGAGTTGGACTGGTTAAAAAATATCAGCTATGATTAACAGCAGGTGTTGGTGTGTTCTCTGTACTCAGGAGACAAATCAAATCCACCATACATCCGCATCCCTCACCTGAAATGAAAGCATCTCCATTCAGGAACATGCTCATCCCTATCAGCATCATGATGCCAAGGACCAGGATGTAAGGCCTCCGCCGTCCCCAGGGCGAGCGACAGTAGTCGCTGGCCGAGCCGATAATGGGTTGCAGCAGAAACCCAAGGATGGGGCTGATCAACCACACGAGGCTGTACAAACTGCGAGGTAGACCCACACTCAGCAGCACCGGTGTCACAAAAGCTGCTTCAACAGCATAGCAGAACTCCCGACCAAACATCACCAGGCTGTGGAGGATAAGACGACCTAGAGAGCGTCTGGGCGGCTCAACAACTCCAAATACATCACTGTCGCCACTGTTTATGTAGTCTTCTTTGGAACAGGGGTAGTCCGTTGTAGACTCTTGCACAGACGTGGTAATATGTTTACCCGGTTCTGAGAGCATACAGGGCTGGGGCCTTGCAGACTGGTCCTCTGATAACAAGGTCATGCTGAAGAGTAGTTACACAAAAAACAGATATAGAAAAATTGTTTAAAAGGATGAAAGAGCTTAGTTTCTCTCTGTCAGTCAGGCCGGTGAATGAAGAAAGTAGAATTCCAGATCTTTGTTGTAGTGCTTGGATAATCCTCTGCTCTATTGCATAGCTGAGCAATAAGTCCAAGATCCAGTCAGCATGACTTAACAAGTGGAAGGCTGTTTGGTGGACTAAGTGCAGAAAAGAGGACCTCAGAGAAGAAGGAGGGGAGAATGAAGTGGGTGTTCTTGTGCATTACAGCATCTCTCTTCCCCATTTTCAGTTTAATAGTAGTAAATTCAACAGTCATGTGAGTGTGTGTGTTTGAGTGTGCAGAAAATACTGGCTCTAGAAGTGAATGGCCTTAATTTGACTGCAACTCGAAGAAACCACCAATTTGTTATGGACACGTTTCACTCTAAGCTCTGTTTATTTTCTTGTTTAACTTTGACTGAAAAGATTAAAATGGGTCAAAATTTTTACAAATGAAGCCCAAAACACCAGAAATCCCCAAATAGAAATATAGCAATTTCCTGTATGGACCAATCCACCAAAGAACAGCATAAACCTGGAATAGCAACAGCAAAATGCTTCTAATGACAAAATATAAAAAATAGGGATATATTTGCAACCTGAATGAACATTACCACTATGTAGTGGCACTAAGTTTGGACTGGGTTCAGCCTCCAGGAAAAAAAGTGCTTTTTAAAACGGTCTCCATCCATCCTTCTTTTTTCTTCTGCTTTATCCGGGGCCAGGTCGCGGAGGCAGCAGTCTAAGCAGAGATTCCCAGACTTCCTGATCCACACACAACTCCTCCAGCTGCTCTAGGGGGGCCCCGAGGGGACGCCAGGCCAGCTTGGACACATAGTCCCTCAAGCTTGTCCTGGGCCTTCCACATGTCCTCCCGTAGGACATGCCTGGAACACCTCCGGAGGGAGGCGACCAGGAGGCATCTGGAACAGATGATCAACCACTGCAGCTGGCTCCTTCCGACGTGGAGGAGAAACGACTCTACTCTGAGCTCCTCACCCAATCTCGAAGGGTGTGCCCAGCCATCCTGCAAAGGAAACTCATTGTAACCAGCATTGTGGTACAAATTACGTACTTTAATTATTTGTTATTTAAACATCAATGCAGCAAGCAAAAAATGCTGTATTACCAAATATGTGTAAAACTCTTGATTTTGTCAAAATCTCTACATTTAAATAAATAAAAAATAATACAAATATATTTTAAAATTTAATTATCAATTTGAAAACATTTAGGGTTTTATCAAAAACTAATGTTTTGGCTTTAAACACTTGAATTTACAATTTCCTTTTAAAAGAGTTTGTGTAAAAGCAATGATTACAACAAATGATGAGTCTTTTACTCTACATAAATGATACTATAAAAAATATATGACCTATGCAAAGGAGGGACTGATCATACTAATAAAAGCTCTACAAAAAAGAGAAAAAACATGTTTAATCAGGGAATTCTGCATAGAAATTAAAGGACTGTAAAGGGGTGAAAGGAAATAGAGTTTCATTACTAATTACTAATAATGAATAATGGCTTTAAACTTATCTGTTTTTTCCCAACTTACAGGGTCAGTTAGCTGTGCTGAGGTGTCAGTGAACTTCTGAAAACAGTAGGAAAAGATAATTTAACAGACTGCCACTGTTACAGTGGAACCATGTAGACAAAAGCATAATCATTTGTGGCAAATATTAAGATTTAAACACAACTCAGGAGTAAGATACAAATAAAGTACACAAGAACACAGAGGATAATATATTTGCAAAAAGCAAATACATAAATTGCTAAATAAATGTATAAGACATTAAACATATGGTCGGATCTTTTGATTTTATGTAGGTAAAAGCTTTGCTGCAGAGTTTTGTTTCAGCTCAAGTTTATTGAGGGACTGTTGGGATGTTCTAGCACAGAGTGCATTACAGTAAACTAATCTACTAGAAATAAATGCATTAATCAATTTTTCCACATCAGGTTGTGACTGAGGGGATTTGATTTTTGATATGATTCTCAGGTGAGAAAATGCAGACAGTGACGTATTATGGATGTGATTCTAAAAGCAAAGGCCACAATCTAAAAACAAAGCTAGATTATTTACCGCACTTTGGATTCATGCAGTAAAGAATAGTGAAAGGAATAAATCATCCCTCCATTTCTCTCCTGGTTCATTTCTTCTTTCTGACTAATACAAATAAAGATGTCTGCAGAGAATACTGTAGACTTGTTTGCAACAGATCTTTAAGATGGAAAATTAATAACTGATACATCTGTCTCTGTCTAAAAGTGAGAGAAAGATTTCTTGCATATTGGCTTTTAGAGCAACTGCTGTTAATGTGATCAATGCATCGATGGTGTATTAAATCAAAGCCACAACAAAGCAGTTACATTTCCATTTTTAAATATCAAGTCATTTGTCATCAGATTAGGGGCTTCGATAAGCCTCATTTATTAAAGCCGTAAACTGATGTAGTCATGCAAATCGGATTGTTGATAAAGTATTTGAAAACACTTTTAATTGCATTTATCAAGCAGATGCTGATACCAAATCAAATTAGCCTTCATTAGATCAAAGGAAGAATAACTGATTCTTGGAGCAGAAAAACATGTTAAAAGAAATAATAAAAAATCTGTAACACAAATAATCTATTTGTCACAGAAGAAGATGCTGTAACATATACAGTTACTTGATGGCATTTACTTTATTAATTCTACCCTTTAAAGTATTAAATGTCATTTAAAGCAGAACTGTGGTGCTTGCCTGGAAGTGAAAAATCCGAATGCCTGTTGAAGACGTGACATTAAGGAGGACTACCTCCAATAATAAAAGAGCTGTCTTATTCCTGCAGGAGATCTTCAGTCAGTACTGAATCTGCGGTCAGACAAAAGCAATTTAAAGCCTGGAAGGTATTTAATGACAGTGTTGTGGAGGTGGGCGGATAAAGGTGAAAGCAAACTGAGATCAGTGAATTTATTATTCTGGGCAGTTATTGACTATCAAGGGTTAAAAAAATCCTCAGACTGTTGTTATTTTAGCAATAACTTCAGCTAAGGTGCACATCAGGAGGCCATCTGTTGGATATACCAATCAAATATTCCTTCGTCTCTCATACTGTATGTAAGAAATGGGCAATGTAAAAAAAAACATAAATAAGTAAAGAGTGAAACTCTGGGAATGCTACTTTAAAGATTATAAAAATTATGCAGTCTTCCAGGAAGTTGCTGCTTTACCTGATCTATTGGGAATGTTTTTATTTCTTAATAACTGAAAAGGTTTAAAGTTATTTCAATGCACTTGATAGAGCATTTTACTGTTATTATGCTATGGTCATAAACAAGATTTTACATTGTAACTAACCAAAGCCAGTAAAACTAGAGCTGCAGACAACAAATCACATATTTAGTCACACAAAAGCTAAAAAGGGAAAATAGTTGTTTTTAATTTATCTGTTAGATATTTTTTTGTGAAAATGCAAATCTATAATTTTTACCAAATTTATCAAATGGCTAATGTTTAAGGTTCTTCCATCTTTCACACCTTACAGTATATGACTTCTGTGTTTACATAAAGACCAGTGAGATTTATCAATTTACAAATGACTATCAGGAGTAGGAGCCAAAGTGAGGAGAAACACAGCTGCAAATATTTTGTGGGAGTGGAAAGTTTCAACACTGAAGAGTGTTGCTGACATTCAGGTTGTAAATGAAGTAACTTCATCTTGTCCTGCTTAGAACATCTAACCTTTTCTAGAACCGAATTCTCAGAGTATTTATAAAAATGTGAAAAGTCATGTTGTCCGGCTTCTGTTTTAACCCCTCCAGACCAAACCCAAACGGGGTTGGCCAATCACGTTTTAGTATTAAGGTGGGACATTACAATAGCTTCGTCTGGATTCCTGATTTCCTCTTTGAAAGTGAAACAGCAAGAGAGTAAAAGCTTCAACTGTTATACTTTCTCATACAGTCTGCAGTTTCTTAATTTGTTACTCTGATTGATTAAAACCCAACTTTAGCTGGTTTGCACTAGGTGCCGTAGGAACCTTCTGAGCCATTGAGCTCAGAAGGTTCTGATAAACGATCGTTTTTATCATATTTATCATATTTATCTATGGGCACTTTTTATTATTGTACCAAAACAGTAATGTGTATATCTATCTATCTATCTATCTATCTATCTATCTATCTATCTATCTATCTATCTATCTATCTATCTATCTATCTATCTATCTATCTATCTATCTATCTATCTATCTATCTATCTATCTATCTATCTATCTATATATATATATATATATATATATATATATATATATATATATATATATATATATATATATATATATATATATATATATATATACACGTATGTATATGTACTGAATGTATGTATATACAAAAAAAATCCTAAGTCTAGGCTGAAGAATGTAACACAGAGTTGCTGATTTCTGATGTTGTATTTTATGGGACAAGAGTAACCTACTAGAAAAACTCTTTCATTTCTCTTTTTTCGGTATTCTCCTCAGGGTATTTCAATGTCAGATGTCCTCTCTGACATTAACAAATGTTCTGACGGCTGGAAAACCTCAATTCTCTGACTCCCTGAAACCTGCCAGCAGGTGAGCCCCATTTATGCTGTCTTTTAGTTTGATGAAATCCTAAACCAGTGTCAAGAGGCACTGACTGATTGAAGGCTTATATTAACCAACAGATGGACCAGAAACTTTTTATATGGATGTGCCAACACCTACATTTAGCACAAGACAGAATTAAAAAAAGAAACACCTATAATGGGAGAAATCAAACAAATAACCTACAAACTAGGAGATGTTAATATGTTTTTTTTTTTGACATATGAAGTAACAGCAAACAGATGTTAAAGTTTAAAGAAACTCGGTTTACTTGCCAAATGCTTATGTTGCATAGAATACAAAGCCCGGGGGGAAGATTAGAGAGCTATTTCAAGGTTAACACACACACATTACAGAACATATATTTTGATGGAGCTCTAGGGATTCCATCTGTCAGAAATTCACAGACATTTTTTTCATCTCTGTTATTTATGCTGATCTTTTTATATCCAAATAAAGCCTGATCCAAAAATTGGTTGCTAAATTCTCAGCTGTGACTGAGCTCTATCATCTCTCAGACTTCTTGAAACTTTTTGCTACCCAGATTTTATGTTTGCCAGA